GACCATGTGCTGCTTGGCGGTGGACTATATGCATTTATTATCATTAGTTTATCATCCTCATGGCAGATCTCTAGTGCTATTATGTCAACTTCTTGTGGATTGGCAGTCATTATTTCGTTCACCTTTAGGTGTTCTTTTACCAGCACAGCAACGCCACCGCCTTTCCTAATTTTTCTGTCCCGTCTCCAAATTGAGTAGCCCCTTGGGAATATGACCTCATTTAAAATTACATCTTCAAGTTTTGTCTCCGTGAGTGCAACAATGTCTGGTGTCTGCAACTGTATTACATCACTTAACTCCAGTATCTTTGATCTCACTCCATCTATGTTGGTGTATGCAATCTTCAGGAACTTGTTCCCCCTCTCCTTATTCTTCACTCCCCCTCTCTCTATTGATTTTGTTGGTTTGCCTTTATGTACCACTTTACTGGTTTGCCTACCCCTATCACTTTGTAGAAAAAAGAATTTATTTCTTCTTCATTCCTGTTCTCATTTAAATGTTTTGCCTCGGCGAGGTTCAGTTTCAGCTTCTCTCTATCTTCTTTTGAAAGATCTCGTCTTAACGACCACCCTTTCCCATCCTCATCACTTTGCAATTTTCTAGCATTCCTTAGTACTTCTTCCATCTGTTTGGCACCGTTTAGGGTGATCCTCAAAGGTCGATCTTTCCCTTCTACGTACCTGCCTATTCTCCTGTAGTCGCACACATTCTCTATGGTTGTAAGACCTTCTACGAGGCCAACAATTTTATCTACTACTTTAGCTTCTTCTACAGCTCTTTCTGACCTAGATGTTATCGCCTTTTCTTTGCAGCCAAAAATGATCAGGGACTTACTCCGATCAACTGTGTTTTGCACCAACTTCGGGTTAGATGCCAATTCTTTCCTCACTTCTAGCCTAATGTTTGTTTTATCTTGGTTGCTGCAGTGTTTGACTTCCTTTACTGCTTCTTCTATTTTTTCCTTCTCCTTGGCCACTTGTGCATAAGTGAGTTGCATATCTTTCTTGCACTGTTCTATTCCCTGTGTAACTTCCTCCATCTGTGCTGACAAAAGCTGTTTCTCCTGTTGAATTTCCTTGCCTAACCTATTGTAGTCATTTATGTTTAAATTTACTTTAACTTCTTCCAAAGCTATTTTTAAGAGTTTATTTTCTTCTTCCATGGCTTTGCAATTTGTTTCCAATTGATTCTTATCCTTGCGCAAGTCTTTCACTAAACCCTCAAGACATAAAACTTTGCTATTCAAATGGTCATTACTTTCTTTCAATTTACTAATTATTTCTACATGAGAGAGAGTTCACTATAGTATCTAAATTTACCAACTTGTTATGTAGACTGCTAATATCAATGCTTTCGTCATTGAATCCCTCAAAATCAAGCTCTGTTTTGTTTTTCCCCTTGCCAGTGGCCATCTTGAATGTTCTTCTCTGCACTGTAAACACTAGGGCAACTTTTTCTCATCCGATTTTTCACTTCCCTTAGCACTTTCCTGTGGTGAACCCCGTGTATCCGCGGGCCGTTTAAATCTTGCGTAGTACTTAAAAGCATCACATGATGCGATGCGCAATTTACTGCAAGTCGGTCAAAGCATCATATGATGCGATGCGCAATTGAAGGGTTAATGGAGCCCTGTTGCTTATGCATTGTTAATCGCCTGGAAACAGACGCTGTTGTCTTGCCTATATACTGAGTTCTCTGGGGCTTACAGTCCCCAAGTGGGCATTTGAAGGCATAGACGACGTTGGTCTCCTTTAAGGCGTTCCGCTTTATGTCTGGAGAGTTTTTCATGAGTAGGTTGGCCGTTTTTTCAGTCCTTGTAGTTGGCCCTACAGGCAAAAATCAACAGATACAATTGACAATTTACTATAAAACAAAAAAAACGGCCAACCTACTCATGAAAAACTCTAAAGAGAAAAATTAAAAAAAAACTAAAGGTAAGACAAACATATGTTTTGTACTGTAGTTAAGAGAAAAAAATTGTATTCGGTATAAAATGCATTTTCAAGTTAATATTTTTGAGGGTGTGGAACTGATTAATTCAATTCCTTTAATTTCTTATGGGAAAAACCACTTCGACTTACGATAAGTTTCTGGGAACGGATTACCATCGTAAATCGAGGCTCCACTGAATCAGGTAATGATGACTTCTCAGGGGTACTCTCTCTTCCCTACGTTTTGCCTGCATACCACTAGGATATGGTTGTGGCCCCCTGCTTGCTTGTCTTACTAAGTATCTGTCTAACTACTGTGATGCGCCGAGTTTATTGTGACATTTTCCCTGTGTGCATAAAATCAGGTGTTTTTCTTTTTAAAATGATAAATCCCCTGCCCTGAACATGTCTATGTAAAAATAAATACCAAATTCCACTTTGGCTGTGGGGACATGGACAAGGTGCGCTGTGAAGTCATCAGGGGCTGGTCGCCCATGCGTGAATCTCCCAGACATGGTCGCCTGGGCCATTCATGCACCGCAAGTTGCCACAAATATATTTTCCATTATTTGTTCTATGTATTTCCAATGCGGTTTTATTTGTTTTTTTTATAGTATATGATGCGTATTTGTGTCCTTTACAATAATGTATACAATAGAACATTCATAATGTTCCATGGAACTGTGATACATGTGTCAGTAATGTGTTCACAATAAATGTTTATTGTCGCAATATTACTTGTTAAAAATTCACTAAAATTACAATATGTACAGTTTCACCCACTATTTACACAGTAACACACTGTATTACACAGTACTTCGGAGGTGAGTATTAATCAACGAAGTAGTCCATGGTACACAGCACGACTTCGCTCTCGTTGCACCAGGTACAGAAAGATTTTCGCTTCTTGTTTCTTCGATCTGTATGATAGCAAATAACGCACTCATGTACAACCTTGGCTTTAGCACTTGTAGGTGGTATATAGCCAAGCTTGTAAAGCATAAAGTAGTATTGAAAAGATTATAGGGAAAGATCAATTTGTAAGGTAGACTTGAAAAGATCACTTTGTAAGATCCCACACTGGAAGAGATTCAACCAACCTTGAAGAGTGTCAGTCAATCTGGAAGAGTTTGAGAACGATTCATCTATGTATTATCTATATAAATTGGAGATGGCATAGGTGGGCAAGGGGTGGTGCTCAGAGCTACAACTGGATATACTCGCTGTAACGTCCTCATAGGTGCTGTATCACTTGCACCTGACACTTGTAATTACCTAAGTGTAATTACACTTTGGTAATTAACTATACTTACGTGTAGTTACAGGATGAGAGCTATGCTCGTGGTGTTCCGTCTTCCCAGCACTCTTTGTCATATAACGCTTTGAAACTACTGACGGTCTTGGCCTCCACCACCTTCTTACCTAACTTGTTCCAACTGTCTACCACTCTGTTTTCGAAAGTGAATTTTCTTATATTTCTTCGGCATCTGTGTTTAGCTAGTTTAAATCTATGACCTCTTGTTCCAGGTCTCAGGAAATCTTCCCTATCAATTTTATCAACTCCTGTTACTATTTTGTATGTAGTGATCATATCACCTCTTTTTCTTCTGTCTTCTAGTTTTGGCATATTTAATGACCTTGTGTTAGGTCCTTGTTGCACCTAGCTTCACCAATATCATGACCCTTATGTTCTTTAAACAATAAGGTCTGAATTTCACAGACAGAGCACGATCTTTCAGCACCGCGTCAGACAGGTGTTTGGGAGCCAGAGGCGCGTGCGCCACCCATGGTTGCTCACTCAGTACCAACCCAGCCAGCAGCCCTACCTTACCTTACCTTGAGGTTACCTTGAGGTGCTTCCGGGGCTTAGCGTCCCCGCGGCCCGGTCGTCGACCAGGCCTCCTGGTTGCCGGACTGATCAACCAGGCTGTTGGACGCGGCTGCTCGCAGCCTGACGTATGAGTCACAGCCTGGTTGATCAGGTATCCTTTGGAGATAGATCCCCTAGGGCATTCTGGGAATTTTTTCCAAGATGGCCACCTCTCACTGGATGTCCTAAGAGTCCATTTCATACACAACCTACCGCATACACATTTTGAATGGATACAAAAAAAAAAAAAAGTTTTCTCGGTTTGCGCAGTTTCCAACTGACCGAATTTTCTCGGTTGGCGCAGTCCAGTGGCTAAAGACACTTGTTTTTCCCTACATTTTAACACTTGTCTGTAGTGAGACATCATATTCATTTACTATGAATGATCTCTTGTTTTTCCTCTAAGGACATCCTCACATGTGTTTTCTTACGTTGAACCTTACCACTGACTTTCTTGGAACCCATGGCGTGATAAATATAATAATTACTTTTATGTTAAAAAACAAAAAAGCACAAACAATGTGCTCGTTTTTACAAGCGCAATCGTCACTAAGCATAAACTTTGGTAAACTGAGGGGAGGGGGTCACCCGTGCCACCAGGAACCACGTGGTTGATCGACCCATACGTGTATAAACAAAGTCGCTAGTCGAGGCAACGGTCGTAAGTCAAGTCGCATTTTTAGACAAAATTGGGGTCATAACTTGAAAAATTTGTAAGTTGTAAGTCGAGGTGCCACTGAAACTAAAAATCGACCATATGAAACTATGAATATTATCAGCATAGTAACTAGGAGCATTATGTGACATATGTACTATGGGACGTGAGGATGGGTTGCAGTTTTGGGGCTTTGGTGTATTTGAACCCAGCAGTGGTTTGTATTGGTTTGGTGACTTTTGGGATGCTTTTCCAGTGAGGTTGCAGTGTCACCTGCTCTCCACACCTCTGTGAGTGGGCCAGGTTCTACCTCTGGTCTCTAGTAGGACAAACAGAACTCCATGGCTGTTGTGACCTAGCTGTTGGGAGCCATCTCAGCTTGACAGTTTCAAGGGGCCACAAGTGGCTCCCATAGAAAAGCCTATGCATGAGGTAACTAACTCCTTCAAAATATGGAACCCTTAAAGGATCAAGTTTCATAGATAAAGATGCATACTGTATTCTATAGAAGAACTTGGTTTTACTATACCATTACATATCTTACCAAATTGCTGACATCACGGCCATCTGCCCCTGGCTTGTCGGAAGATATTTGAGGAGCCAGGCATCCTGCACAGAAATTCATCCTGCCATAAATTAAAACAATTAGAATAATGTAAAAAATGAAAATTATATATATCTATATAAATAAAAACGTAAATGTTCGTTTGTTCAAAATCGCTAATCTCTCGAAGTTCTTCACCGATTGCTTTGAAATTTTGACACAATGTTCCATTCTCATCCAGGCGTGTTTTTATATACATACTATATAGATGTCACGTCTGTGATGGGAAAAACATGCTTTTTTGGGGGGAGACCTTTCGGCTTCCCGGAGCTTTCCAGGCTGATATGCTAATGTCAGACTTTGGCATCAGTCATGTGTGTATGGAGTTCTGTGGACCTACCAGCGACCATGAGCTAGAACCTGGCCCCCTCGGAGAGGTATGGGGAGCAATGGCCTATAGAAACCCCCATGTGGTTGGAAGCATTCTATGTCTGCCATCCAGAAAGGTAAGCATCCCAAGAGAAACACCTATTCTGGTGAAAATTTTGCTACCAAAAGCCGAACAAGTAGATAGAAATCCCCTAAAAGAAACGAACAAACGTGCATGATGTCACACGTCACCGCACCGCTGTCTGCGCAGCTCCCCCCTCCCCGGGAGGGGGAAGGGGGAGTGCCAGACCCCTGTACAAGCTATCCACCTGCCAGTTCTAAGGCTGATGCTAGAGGCTGAGGTTGTGTACTTTGACTCCAATGATTTCCAGCACTGTGCTTTGTATGTGGTGGCTGTCTTCCAGGGGTGCGAGAGCCAGGAGCTATTCTACAGTACTCGGGCTGCATGTGCCTAGGGTTATCGTCCCTAGGTACCCCTATAAGTACTGCCCTTGGAGCTTGGGGCCATCTTCCACAAGTTCCTCGGGGCCTTCCTCTGCTGGGCCGTATTACTGCTCGGTTTTTCGGCTGCACTTTGGGTGCTTGAGTGTTTTGTCTTCCTTGTTTACCTTAGGGGAAGAGGCAGTTTGCACTGGTATAGGGTGCAGGGTGCTGCGCAGCTTGTTTTCACCATTCATAGCAGCCGGCTCTGTTCCTTGGGGTACGTTGTCCTCTTGCGGGGTTTTTTCTTTTTCTTTTTGGCTTGTGGGTGGGTCTGCCTTACTTTACCTTTTTGTGCCTGACCTGAGTATGGTTCTCTTCTTGTGGTGCCCCCTGCTAGGTCGCCATGAGTGTACACGTCCCTGAGGTTCAGCTTCAGAAAGTTGCTTGGTAATTTTGGGCGCCGGTTAGCAGTACCCTGCCTGGGATTCCCTGAGCGTGAGTTCCGTCTCAGGACCCTGGGAAACCTGTAGGGGGTGCATGGGTCCGATGGATGTGTCCCTGGAGTCCCCCCCTCGCTTCGTGCGAGTTCGAGGGTTGCTTGATTCCCTTGTCTCAGGGTGACTCTCACTGTTTTTGCCTCCGTCACGCTGCCTGTTGGGTCGGTGACACTTTCGACCCGGAGTCCCTGTGAGTTCTGTTGCTTGCTGGTGACTCGGTTTACCCAATCTAATGATGATCTTCTACAGGTACAGGCAGCGCAGACTATGCATGTGCGCTTTAGGTTGTTGCAACCCGCTAGGTTGGTTGCTGACCCAGATGCCCCGAGTCTGCCCCGTTTTGCTTATAGGGACCCGGACTTGGGGGTTGGGGTCGCTTCAACCTTGGTTCAGTCTGCGCCCCCCTCGTCCTTTCCATGTTGTGGTTCGTTCTGGTCCCCCATCCCTGCTTCCAGCCCCGAAGCGTCTGAGGGTTTTGGAGTCGGGGCTGGGTTTAGGTAGTCTTGAGACTCAGGCAGTCTCGGAGGATGCCCCTTCTGGTATGGCGATGGAGGCACTCGAGTCCGATCTCCCAGTCAAAGCCTTTGACTGGGTCAAAGGTCAGACCAGTGGGCCCCCTTCCATCTGGCTTACTCAGCTGCGCCGGCCTTTTCTTAAGGGGCTGGTGCTCGGGGGGGATGACTCGGCCCAAGGTCCTGCGGAGGAAGATCCTGGTGCGGTGAAGGAGCTGACTTGGGGACCTTGGGCCTCACTGGACCCCACCTGGGTTTTTCTGCCCTCTGAGTGGGGCTTATTGTTACAAGGAGTGGGGGTTCACTTTCCCCCTCCCCCCCCCCCCCCTCTGCATACAAGTTGGATTTGGTGTCGGTCCCTCCTCGGGCTCGGTTCCTTGTTTCCCCGGGTGCTATAAGTTTCCCTGTTTTATGCTTTCGGCTCATGTGTCATCAGGCGGTGCTTGCCTCCTTTCTGGAATTGGCCTGGGCCCTGGCTATTAGGATGTCTTTGCCTTTTTGTCCTCTGCTTTTTGCGGATTCGGCCAAGGCGCAGTATATTCAGGCTGCTTCGGCTAGTTGTCGTCCTATGTCTGACTTGTTGGTTCTCCGGGGGTTCCAGGGAGGGGGGGGGCCTTCCTGGAAGGGTTGTGCCAGGACTTGGGGTTCCGCTCGTCGTGGTAGGCCACAGGTGCCAGTTTCGGGTTCAGCCCCACCTTCGCACCCGCCTTTGTCTGGTCGGCGCGGTGTTCGCGCTCTGTGCAAGATTCTGGGTCGTGTAAGGGGCTCCTGCCCTTTCGCGGTTCGCCCCATTGATGGGGCGATGGAGGGGAGGTACATGCTGTTCCCACTCATGCCTGGTCCCACGATCAGTGGGCGTTTCTGGTCGTTTCCATTGGCCGGAGATGGTGTTGGGTGGGCTCCTCCTCCTTCAGGAGGTTCAGGGCTGGTTGGGTGGGCCTCTTTCCCATGCGCTCCGTTGGGTCAATCTTGGAGTGGGTTCGCTTGGGCGTAGTTGGACTTGTCCTGTCTGAACCCCTGAGGTCATTGCCCCTCCTTACGGATGACTATGCTGTCCCAGGTTTGGCTCCTGTTGGAGCCGGGCTCTTGGATAGTGTCCCTGAACCTCTGGGACGCTTATTGGCAAATCCCGATTCATCTGGGATTCAGCGACTGGCTCGGTTTTGTTGTGGGGTTTCACGGTTACCTTTTTCGTTGTCTCCCATTCGGGTTGAATCTGGCACCTCGCGTGTTCACATGCCTTACATGGATTGTCGTGGCCCGTATGCGTCTCTTAGGTTTTCGGGTGTTGGCCTACCTCAACGACTGGCTGGTTTGGGCTCCAGCCGGTCATCTTATCTGCTTCTGCTTCCTTCCGCCTCTCTCGCGATCGCTGGGTTCGGCCCTTGGGGGGGGGGGGGCCTTGTGTCGGCTGTTGCGTCACCAGCTTCCTCTTCTGGTTTTTCCAGGTTCAGTGCCTTGGCGCCTGCCCGAGCCCTCGCTAGATGTGTTCACGGATGCGTCATTTCTCGGCTGGGGCTTTGTGACCAGTGCTCACCAGGCCGGACAGGGACGGTGGGGTCCGTCCTTCTGCTGAGCCCACAGCATGATGCGTCAGTTCACGGCAGTGTGGTTTGCTCTCTAGAAGGTTCAGGTAACTCACGGATCGACAATCCAGCTCCATTCAGACTGCTCCCCAGTGGTTCAATGCCTAACCGAGGGGGTTCGATACGGTCCTTGGCTTTTTGGCGTTGGTCACTTCGGGTGACTCATCTGCTGAGTTCTCGGGGTTTGGCTCTCCTGGCTGTTCATGTACAGAGTGTCTAACATCTTAGCCGACGGCCTGTCTCGTATCATTCCCCTCTCCACGGAATGGACGGTCGACGCCGACTTCTTCAGTTGGCTTTGCCAGACGTTCGGACGCCCCGAGGTAGACCTCTTTGCGTCGGCATGCTTGCGGCGCCTTCCCCTGTATGTGGTGCCCTTTCCCGACTGCGAGGCCATTGGGGTCGACGCCTTTCAGCAGAACTCGTTGAGGTGGGGGTTCCTGTACCTCTTTTCCCCAGTTCAGCTGTTGCTTCAGGTCCTGACTCACTTGGAGACTTACCAGGGGAGAGTAGTCCTCTTGGCCCCATGGTGGCTGACCCAGCCGTGGTTTCAGGCGCTGCTTGCTCGGTGTCTGAACCTGAAGGTTTTCCTACGGCTCTGCCTTTTCCAGCAGATCGGACCAGAGCATCACGTGGCTGGTTCGATCTTCTCCTCGAGTCTTCAAATATGGTATTTTTGACTCGAGTTCATCATTATCTCTAGGTGATCAAGTGGCTTCCTTGTTAGTGTCCCACCTGAGGGCTTCGTCTCGGCGGCAGTATAAAGTTTCCTGGCGGTCCTTCCGGTTCTTTTTGCGTCTTATTCATTGTGCTTTGTTTTCTGTTAGGGTGGTGTTGTTCTTTCTCTCTTGGTTGTTCCAGGACTGTCATCTTATGCCTAACACTGTTGCCTCATATCGTGCGGTGCTGGCGGAGCCGCTTCAGCTTGCATTTGGTATTGATGTTACTTCTGCGCCGTTTTCCAAACTGTCTCGCGCGTTGTTTCACCTTCAGCCTGCTCATGCGCAGCCTGAGTCGTCTTGGTCATTGGACAGAATGCTCTCTTTTCTTTCTTCTCTTTGGTTTGTTGTGGCCCCTTCGGTTCAGGATTGTTTCTCGAAGGCTCTTTTTCTGTTGGTATTGGCATCTGGGGGTCGGGTTGGGGGAGCTTCATGCTCTCCTCCAGCGCAGGGGTTTCTGCTCTTTTGGTCGTAGCGATGGTTTTGTTCATCTGCAGCCGTCTCCTTCTCTTCTGGCAAAGAATGAGACTGCTGCTTTCCTGAGGGGTCCTTGGGTTGTTGATGCTTGGTTGATTAGGCCGAAGGTGTATTATGTTTTGTGTCCGGTTGCGGCCCTTTGCCGTTATTTGTGCGCCATGGCTTCTGTATTTGGGGACGCGTTTTGGGTTGATCCGTTTCCCCTCTTCCATGTTCGCGGGTGCGGGTCTCCCAGGTCTTCCGCAGGGTTATTAAGGCTAGCCAGCCTGCGGTCTATCCCCATGCCCATGATGTTCGTAAGTTTGCTGCTCTTGCTGCCGTCATTGACAATGTGTCCTGGGCTGACATTCGGGCGCAGGGATTTTGGCGGTTGAACAGGGTCCTGGCTGCTCATTACCTCGTGAATGTTCCAGGGCCAAGTCGAGCCTGTGTCGCTTTGGGTCGGCGGTTGCAGTCAGTTGTCTCAACTTCGAGTTGA